AAAATAACTAACAGGCACCTTTTCTCTACCATAAAAATATCTTCAAAGTTGTAATTGTAGTTCTAAAGTCATGTGTTTTCTAATTATAACAACTTCTGTATAACTGAAACAGTTTTGGTGCTTACTGACTATTATATCTATGTAACTGAATTGTTTGTATTGCTCTTGAAATGGTTAAAACACTTTTAAATTCTGTTTCAATGTAATCTATATAACTTAAAATATATATTTGTCTATATCTGAGTTATCTATATCGGTCATATTAACACATTTCCATCTCTAAAGCCACCTCCCCAAATGATTCGGAGAAGTCATAGTTATACATATCTACGCATATCATTAATGTATCAAGACGTTTAAATATGATAAACATTTTTTTTAAGTCCCAAAATAAATCTAAAAGCGGGTTTATAAGAAATAATATAGGGTTTTCGAAGAGGCTCTAGAAATCAATGCTACTGTTAGATAATGTCGAGTTGTGCTCTACGTACTTAAATATTAACGAGACAAGTGCTCTTTATGGAAAAATGTATAAAGAGTGTATAAAAAGTATAAGGAGACTGAGGTTAGTCATTTACTCGGAATAACTAGAACGAAGAAAATTAAACTATGAGCACTATTAATGCCATTACTGCTCTTTAATATTAATTCACCACATTTTCTTTCTTCACTGTATTACCATGACCGCGATCCATAACCCAGTATGTTAATTCAATTGTTCTTGCATTTATTATGTTATATGTTCTGCAATGACGTAAAGACATCAATATGCAAGAGTTTTTCTTTTTCTGAATCGCTTTGAATCGATTACATCTATAATAGAAAATTCGTTGGAGGAGTTGTAAGTTATAACTTAAACAGTCTTCGGACTATATATGTAGAATTGATTCAAGCACCAATATATTTTTCTTGTACTCTTTGATGTATACTTTAAAGAGCAAAATAATTTTGATTATATTTTTTTTTAAATAATTTAAAATAATTCAATTTTAAATAATTTTAAATCATTTTTATACAAAATGTATGTACTCATACATATAGCAAAATCACTATTTTAATCCAGGAACTAAGCATTGATAACCGAAAGCTAATTAATGTTAAAACTATTATTTGTTTGTATATCATAAGGAAAGGTGGATAAAGCTACTAGCAGCATATTTTTAACCTGCCGTCATATCGCAAGAATCTCAGAATTATTTACCACCAGCTGTTCTTAGCACTCGGCATATATCAGAAAATTGAATCTACATAGGAACGAAAAATATTGATAGTAAAAAGTAAAGATAAGTTATAAACCACTGAAGTTTATTGAACGTCTATTACAATACAACATTAATCAGCTAAATACCCCTTCAAATTCATCAATAATAATAAGATACATAGAATTTTGAACACTTACTTAATGAATTAACTAAATGAATTATCATTTAAAAATAAATCATCTGATATCTCTAGCAACACTTTAAAAAAATACTTATAAAATAGTTTAAATACTATGCTTATCAATATCAACTCACGCAATCTATCCATAACTAATACTTATGAATGTATACGTATTATTATCTTTTCTAAATAATAAATATAATTGTAAACTAAAGTAATTTATCCTAACTAATGAATATATATTATTATTTATATATTTATTATATATATTATTATTATCTTTTCTAATAAATAGAATTGTCAACTCAAGCAATCCATCCATAACTAATACTTATGAATGTATACGTATTATTATCTTTTCTAAATAATGAATATAATTGTACTAAAGTAATTCATCCTAACTAATGAATATATATTATTATTTATATATTTATTATATATATTTATTATATATATCATTATTATCTCTTCTAATAAATAGAATTGTCAACTCAAGCAATCCATCCATAACTAATACTAATGAATATATATTATTTTCCTTTTCCAAATAATAATTATAATGATGAACTCAAGCAATCCATCCATAATTAACCAATAAATATATATTATTATACTTTTCTATATAATAATTATAATGGTCAAATCAAGTAATTCATCCATAACTAATACTAATGAATATATATTATTATTTTTTCTAAATAATAAATATAATAGTCAACTAAAGTAATACATCCATAATTAATTAAAGAATTTATATTATCCTTTTCTAAATAATTATATATAATTGTAAACTCACGCAATTCATCCAAACCTATTACTAATGAATATATATTATTATTTTTTCTAAATAATAAATATAATTGTCAATTAAACTAATTCATCCATAATTAACATTATTCTTTTCTAAATAATAATTATAATTGTGAATTCAAGCAATCCATCCAATACTAATACTTATGAATATATATTATTATTTTTTTTTAATAAATATTTTATTTCGCTTTACTAATAACTATAATTGTCAACTCAAATAATCCATAATAACTAATTATTATGTATGATTATCTTTTTTAAATAATAACTTTAATTGTTAACTCAAGTAATCCATCCTAACTAATGAATAGATATTATTATCCTTTTTTAAAAAATACTTAAAAAATCCATCCATAATTAACTTATTAATATATATTGTTATCATTTTCTAAATAATAATTTTAATGATCAACCTAAACAATCCATCCATAAATAACCCGAATAAATATATATTATTATCTTTTTCTATATCATAATTATTATGGTCAACTTAAGCAATCCATCCATAACTAACCTTAATGAATATATATGGATATGCTGTTCTAAATAATAATATTAATGGCCAATGTTTATGATTTATAGAAAATATAAAATATATAAATAAATATATAAAATATAAAATAAAATTTTTGATTAAATTAATTATTTATAACTTATAAAAGTTAATTAAAAAATTTTTTATTTATCCATTGTATGGTAAGTCCTCAACTAAATAAACGAAAGAAAAGAGTTTTATAAATGAAGTTTATTTATTGCATTTTTATTTGTTCGAATTTTAAAACTTTTTCCATTATTCATATAATTTGTTATATATTTATTTATTTAATTAATATATTCCCATACATTTTTAATAAGTACAATTATGCAATTTATCAATTTATCAACATGGTTTGCTGTTGTTCTGGTGTTAGAACTTAATTCTTTATTTATTAATTCATATTTCCTCATAATACTTTTATCAATAATTTAATGTATTTACTCATTTTTATTAATTGTTTAGAGCATAAATATTGTATTGAAGTGCTTTCATAAATTATCACAAATTAAATTGCAATCGGAAATGCACTTTTTAAAAAATATGAGTAAGTATGAAGTGCTATAAATAAAAAAATACCAAAAATAAAAACATATATTTAAATAGATAATTTGTATTTTTATTATAATTATAAAGCTTTAATTTTACATGCAAATTTCAACAAGAGATATTGACTATTTAAAAACTAATACAAAATTAATTTATAAATAAATGTGGGTGCAGTTTTTAACCTAAAAAAAGTTTTTAATGTGATTTTTGCAGTGATCTTTCATATAATTTCTATTTAATAGCTTTAATTTTCTTTATATATTTATGTTTTTATACGTATTTGGTATGTTAGCATCTAAAAATAATCGTTGAAATGTTGAAACTAATTTAAAAATCATTTTGTTTTATTTTTATTTATAATTTTTTGCTCCTTATATTTTGAGGCAAAATTAAAAATTAAAAATGTTTAAGACCGTTGAGTACAGCTCACTGGTATGCAAGTATGTATATTTAGAGAGACTTTAAATAGTTCAAAGTTCAATTCTTGAGCTTAGGTACAACATAATTTGAGTTTATCTGCCAGTACTTGGTTTTGGAAAGTCTCCACTGCAACTCGGCAAAAGTGTCTAAATATGAAGTTTTACTCCGCTGAACAACTAATTATTTAATATATATATTTTATGCTATGCTTATTAATTTAACATTAATAAATTTAGTTTTTTTTTTATTACTATATGTTTATCCAATTATTTATTTTAATATGTATACATATATGAACTATATATATATTAATAATTTCCTCTGTTTTTAATTGATACTTGGCTTTTGGCTTATATATTATTATTTTATTTTAATTTTGCTTTCACTATTTTAGGAACAAAAGAATTTTGCTAATAAAATTCAATTAATATATTTGTGTTTATTTTACAAAAAAAGTAACAATTTTTTTTAATTTTTTTTTAAATAATCGTTTTATTTTTATTTATTCATTTCTTATTTTTTTTTACATTATGCAACAAAATAAGTATGTATAAGCAAATGATAAAGCTATTATTGTTAACATAACTAAGACAATACATTCACATATGTTATAAGATTTTGAGAATATCTATTATATATATATGTATATATATATATATATATTTCACAAAAGGGTTAGAATGCTTACTTTCAGATTAGTATTATTTATATATATACGTATTTCATTAAAATTTTATTTATTTTTTGTTTTGTTAAATATTAATATTCAAGTAAGTAATAAGTTATGAATTTAAGATTTTACCTTTTATCTTTGCTTTATTTTTAAGTTTTTTTGTTTCTTTTTTATTTATATATATAATAATGTAACCATAAACAAAATTGGTATATTCCTCGTTTTCATGAACTTCTTTAGGGTAACAAATTATATTTAATAAAAATTAATTATTATAATATATTAGCAAAACGCCTTTTATTAACTTCCACCGAAAAAAGTACGAAGTTTCCGAAGCCTTACTGTTCAGTATGACCGAAAGTTACCCTAAATATCACCATTCAGAAGCGTTTTATTAGGTGTTTTAATAGATAATTCTAAAGAGGAAAATTTTTAATTGTTGAGTAAAAAAACAAATTTATAATTTAAATATAATAAAACAACATTCTTTAAATATTTTAACAAAATAAATTTTTTTCTAAACAACTCTTAGGTTATTTTATGAATTATCTATCAATGCAACTAATGCAAAACTTTTATTGTTTTTCAATATATAAGTTTCTTTTAAATATAATAAATTCAATTGAAAATTGTTTAATTAATTAAGTCAATAAAATATTTCTTCAAAGTACAATTAATTGTCATCAAAAGTGTTAAATGTTGAAATGTTTATTTTTTGAGAATTGAGAACTTCAGTATTGAAGTATTCTTTTTATGTGAAGGGTATGCATTCTTTGGTGCAATTACCTGTTGAATGTATATGGAATGTACAATTTAAAAAAAAAGTGTCTTAATACTTTTCACAAAGCAGGAACAACCATTGCAATAAACTCCATGTAAAATTATCTCTTTACCTATTCATGTATTTACTTTAATGTAATGGCAATTCTTCATGATTCAAGATTTAGGCACATGACACATAATTTAGTAAAGGATCCGGCTGTGTTAAATATGCAATTTTACATAAAATATAATTCGAAATTTTTTTTTAAATTTACACATTTCACAAACTTTTCACACAATTGCACCAAAGTGTGAGCACCCCTATTTTAATTTTATGAATTTTATGATTTCCTTTCTATTTGTATACTTGTGTGTGTGTGTGTTTTATTTTTCATAAATATTTATTTTATTAATAGTTGAATTATTTGTATTTGTTGAATTAGTTTAACATTTATTGAAAACTTTTTACTGCATCATGTTGTAATTTATTGTTATCATCTCCCACTAAAGATGATGTACCACCAGCGGCTGGCTGTGTTTGTGGTGGTGGTGGCGGCATGTATGGTGGATAATTTTGGTATTGTGGTTGTTGTTCTCCACCTATTAAGCCTAGTTTATCTGCATTAAAATTAAAAAAAATTATTTATTAGTAAAAGAAATTAATACAATTAAAACATTATTATTTAATGACATATACAAATTACACAATCCATCGACTTGTTAAATGAAAAGCGCAACATTTCTTATATTTAATTTTTTTTTTCAGTGTATTCACCAACTTTGCATTAAAATATTAATGTAAAAATATGGTTAATATAATATTAAAATATATATGTACACTCTGTTGCAGTTTGTGAATACACCATTGATATACAAACGTATTTAAAACATAACTACATACAATAAATAAAGACAATTTAAAACTCGTAGTAGTAATATTCGTAGTAATAAACGCAAAATATTTAGGCTTGTCACATGGTATATAGCACACATATATAGAGGTCAGGATGAAGGACCTAATAGTCCAGTTCCTTATTCTAAGTTAACTTTAAAATTAAAATTAATGTTAACTCACAAATAAATAAATAAATATATAGAGGTATATTAAGTAAAAACAAAATTATTAAAATATATACCACCTATTTACAGTTCAAGTGTATATAAAATATCTACTTTATGTGTAATTATATTATATTAATATCAATGCTCAAAAATATATATAACATATTTGGCAGGACACAGGTTCGATTCCTGGTACTTGCAGTCTCAAAAAATTATTTACGAATAATTAAATACAAGAATTAATTCCAAGACCACTGATGATGGGTATTTGGCAATACTCGAAAGATCTATGTGGTCAGCCAAAAATTCAGTTAATTAAAATAATATAAAATGAATTTCTGTTGTTGTGGTCCACTACTGTACGAAAAACCTCTTTATAACATATTTATATAAATATTGCTCGCATATATGTATGTAATTTTTATATTATATTATAATGACTTTCGATTGTATAGGAATAAAAGGTTCTTTATGATTAGATTCATATATCCATTTCCCAGTACCGTTGGGTGAAGAAAAAGATGGAACAATACTATATATAAACGACAAAATATACAAACTTCGATAAGTATAGTATATATATATATATAATATATATATTATGTATAAATATAGCGTAAATAAATAAAGTTGGAGAAATCTTATTCCTGCTTAAGTTTAGTTTACTGCTATTGATTCCTTGTACTGTAAGCTAAAGACTATGTTAGCTTTTAACTTAAACGTAGGGAATAGTATATGATATAAAATATCTTGATATATTGAAGTATTTGTGTGTGACAGAGAATTTCGTGTCTCTCTAACTTTCCTAAATTTTGAATAGATCAGATTTTTAAAATTCGATATTTTAAAACTCGACGCAATTTAATAATACAGAAATAGGAAAAAAATATATAATAATTTTAACATTATCGTAAATATTTAAAAAAAAATAAATAGTCGTACTTAAACACTCACTTATTAAGGGCAAGTTATTATGTAAAAAATACTCTGTTTTATTTTTTAAATATAATAAAAAATGTATTCCGACACGGAAAAAAGTACAATAAAAAAGTAGAATTACTAGGAATGATAACCAGACACTACTTTAAATTTACTAGAAATATATTCGAAAGGATGAGGATACGTTTTCCTCTCTTATGTAGTGTGGTATGGTTGGTTGGTTGGATTGGCGGCCTTGTATCCCAAAAAGCCCACTTAAGCACAAATAATGGCCCATTGTGATACCACAGGAGTTACGTTGATTTGTATAAAGATTGTAATCAGTATACATTTAACGTCGAAAAAAAGGTAATGACTTCCCTATTAGGTAAAGGAAAACCAACCTGACAGTTCTATGAACTTGGCTAGGTCCCTAACATTACAGGATGACAACTCAGTCAGGTCAGTTAGAAAAGGAGATCCAAGGGTTTTAAATCTTCTTCTGGCTAGGGAAGGGCACTGACACATGAGATGGAGTACTGTCTCCTCCTCATCCTCTGAGCCACAACCCCGACAAAAGTCATTAAAGGGCAGACCCAGTCTCATAGCGTGCCTTCCTATTACGCAGTGTCCCGTCAGCACAGATACCGTAGTGCTGAGCAGGTTCCGTCTTAGTTGAAGTAGCTGACTAGTTCTTTTCTTGTCTAAGTTCGGCCAAGTCAACCTAGAAATCTGACATTAAGGTTCATCAGCCCAGTATTGCCTGGCTATGCTCAGATATTTTTGTATGATTGCCAGTTTAACTGTAGCAAGTAGAACGCCTATATCAGAGAGGTTAATGTTGGAGAGAAGAGCACCTGCCTTGGCTAGGTCGTCTGCCCTACAATTTCCTGTGATATCCCTGTGACCAGGAACCCAAATAAGTTTGACCCTAACAAACCTAGCTAGGTCATTTAGTGAAGCACGGCAGTCTTGAGTTGTAATTGATGTGGCTAGTGTGGTATGGAGTTACCAAACATTTTTCTGTCACAAGAATATTTTATAGTTTTAGCAGTTATGGAGAATATTTAAATCTTTATTTATAATCTCTGTTCAACCAGAATGTAGCGATTACTTAAGAAAATTTTAATTTTACTCTTGGGTAGTACTTAAAAACATCGAGTATAAAATGTTTGGAAGGAAATGAGTCCATCCAAACGACATTAGCAAACAAATTATTTGCATTAACAACTAATATACGGACAGTTTTCCAAGTTTAAGTATATCTGAAATCAAACTAGGTTATTAACTAAATATGTTCCTTTTAACTGCAACTATTTAAAGTTGAGATCAAAAAAAACTTTAACCGTCAGACTCAGTAAATTGCAGTGTAAAACATCTGTGGATCTTATTTGCTTGTATTTTCTGATGCCGAAAGAGAGGATCCAATGCATCCATTTGGCGTTCAGCGGTTCAGCGACATATATAAATCTTATAGTCCTAAATCAAAACATATTAAGGTTTTTCAATAATATGTTCAGATATATTTGGGAGTATTTTTCCAGAAATAATAATAATTGTTAATATACCATCTTGTTTATTTTTAAGAAATGGGGATATATAAATTGTTTTACGAGAGTTGAGATTGAATACAAGTTGAGAATACTTCTTGCTTTAGAGTTTTTTGAAATGTAAAATTTACGTCCATATTTCAAATATCATTAAAGAATTAATAAACAGAACTCAAAAGTGTACATGGGAAAATATGAATATGCTTCTTCATACTCATGAAAAAATTACTGAAACCTATGATATTGGTTTTAATTCCTTTAAATGTAGTTATGACAATAATTTCATATATTTTAAATACAATTAAGAGACGAAAACATATATAACAACATAGAGTTTAATGTGCATTTAAACAATACACTATTTTATTAATGAAGTCAAAGAGGTAAAAGGTTAAAAGTCAAACAGAATTCTAACCTATAAAGATTAAAAAATCAAAGAAATACATTTCTTTATCTAATGCGTAGATCTGACATCAAAAGGACACATTTCTAACGATATATAAATTATAGTCATTATTTCATTTTAAACAAACTATTTCGAATTATACTCGTATAAATTATATTTATGTGCTAATTTAAAAACATTAAATGATGTAAATTTTTTTTAAGAAAGTAAGAGATTAAATTTATATAAATAAAATCATTTAACTTTCTCTATATATATAATTTATAGAATAATATTCTTGACAGTAAAATATTTTCTCAATATTTGAAAATATAAATAGTGCTGAAAATTATATAAAATTTTGTTAAAAAATATATTATATTCAAATTACTAAATGCAACAAGCAATTTAAATTTTATTATAAATACTTCAAATAATTTTAATTAATTTAATTAACATACATAGAACTCGCTAACAGTGCCTAAATGTGATAAAAGTCAGCAAATCATGCAAAAAAAAAAAATATAAACCTCTAAAAACAATATATGTATATAAATATATTTTATTATGTTTTGTGTAATTTTAAAATGAAAAGTATTTTATGTATTATATTTAAGAAGAATTTTTATCAGAATTAAAAGTGAGAAAATAGAAATAATCAAAAAATATTCTTTATATGGCGTTTCAGCACAGAAGATCAGGAAGAATTAATTCACATAAAGTCTGTAGAATAATAATTATTTAAATATGAACTTTTCACAAATCTTCTTATTAAAATAATAGACAACAATTATATTAGTTCCTAGTCAATTGCTTCAACTAAAGCAGAACCTACTTAGCACTATGGTATTGGTGCTGACAAGGCACTGTGTACTACGAAGATAGGTTTTGGGTTTGAATCACCCTTAAATTCACAATTATCGTGGTTGTGGCTCTGAAGAGAAGGAAGAACTCATGTCAATGTCCTTTTTTTTGTCAATGTCAACCTTTGGCTATAGATTAAACATTTTTGAGACATTTTTTATTACTGAACTGACAGAGTTGTACTCCTGCAAAATCATGGACGTGTCCAAATTAATAACTATTCAGATTGATTCATATTTACTTGTAAGGGTAGTTATGTCTGTACACTGACCACTGCGGTCCTTTTGGGGATCCTTCTAGACCGTGAATGAACATCACCAATTTGTAGTTTTACAACAGACCACAATTTGAGTTCAATTGAGCTTTGGTGTACAAAGCCATCACTGCAATCTAATCTAACATAATATCAATAAATAATGTAATATTCAAACAAATTAACTCAGTTGCTGCAAAATATCAAAATTATGAGTACCAATTATCCAGATTGTAAGTTTCTATTAGGTTTTGTTTTATGAATCACAACTTTTTGTATGAAGGATAGGTAAAGTTTAAGGTTGAATCTAAGTACTAGCCTCTATGAATATGACTATGGTATCTTAAGGTATCTTGTAAAAGTATATCTGAATAATTTTATAGATATCTAACATAACTTTCTACTCGAAGCATAGGTTAAGCTTAACTGGGAATCTGAATACCAGATTCCATGTATATGAACATGGATCCATTGCATTACCTTAGGATATCTTGTGAAGAATATTATACATATGTAATATAATTTTCTCTGTAAAGAATAGGTTAAGTTTAACGGTGAATCTAAGTATCAGCATCCAAATACAAAACAATAAATCAGTAGTGTTACCTAATAGTATCGCTGGAAGATATATTTGAAAATATATCTATTTAGTTAGGTCCACTTAGTAATGACAAAATTTTTAAAGCCTGATTTAATTATTTCAGTAATTGAAAATAATATGGAAAATTTTTAATAAATTATATTTCATTGAAACACAAAAATATATTTTTGATATTTAGCCTATGTTGTTTTAAATACTTTTTTAAATGTTATTGAAGAGTTTAGATTCAGAGTTTGTTGAAGACGTTTTAACTTAGTGTCTTTTTTAATCATTAGTCCTTTAGATTGAATTATCTTTTATGTTATCGAACTTTATGAAACCAATTATCTTAACGGGACTGAATAGGGGTTTATTCTTTACTTAAGTTCCAATTAAATTCTGTAAAGTGTTTTTTTATTTTAAACAGTTATTTTATCAAAAACTCCTACAGAACCAATTACGATAACCCTTTTATAGACTTAATTGCCAGACTCAGTACTCCTTAAATGCTCAAGTGCAACAGAGACAATTTGTATCAGGATAGCCTCATCTATGCTTATTGTCAATATGAAATGGGAATTATTTTATTATTGGAAGGACACCTCATATAAAAATTATAATATATATGTATATAATAGATAATTGATCAATAAAAATTGAAAAGATTTTTAACCGAAAATATAAGAAGCATTGAAGCGCATAAAAAGCCTTAAGCGGTGTTTTTTTTATAGAAATTTTGCGTGCTTACAATTTTTCAATAGTTTTGTTAATTTCAATTGTTTAATGATTTTTTTTTTTTGGTAAAATTTTAAATTTGGCTAAAATCATTTTTATGCGCAAAATTGTCTTTGTAAGACTTTTTATTCCGGGACTGCATTTTCGTCGGGTGGAGCAAGCGACTCCTCGGTGGTGGGTGTTTTTTCAAGAGTATTTTCTGCTGGATCTTGTGCATGTTTATGTGGATGATTTTGTGCATGAGATTCGATTTGTGTATCGTGTACAGTGATGGGTTGTGGTGTTTCATTGTTTACGTTGGGTGCAGGCAAAATCCAAGATTCTAAATGACAAAAAATCGCACAAAGAAAATTCCATAAAAAAAATTTTAAAAAAAATTATTTAATATAATTTGCCAATCTGTTTATTTTTTTCTATTGTCAATATTAAATTCAACGTTCTAACGTGCACTGTAGTTCAAATTGTAGTACATGTTACCGATGCGATTATGTGTGTGTGTTTGTGTATGTATATGTTAATTTTTTTTTATATATAAATTAAAATAAATTTTTAGATTTTAAAAAACTTAGTAAAAATGTGCGCCTTACAGAAAAAATTAAAAATTTAGTATATAATACATATATCATATGTATATATATACATATTTAAAAAAATTTTAATTGTAAAATTTTATGTTTGACTATGACAATAAATTATATATGATCACATAAAATGTTTATAATAAATCAAAAGTATACATATAATCTGTATAATTATTTATATTTTTATAAATAATTATTTTAAATATTATTATATTTTTTATATAATAAACTCTTAGCGACGTTACTTTTAAAATAATCTAGCGATAATCTTTTTTATAGTAAAGCATTATAAAAAATTTTGTTTTACCTTAATTTTTTTAATTTAGACATTATGAAATTTTAAGAATTTTTTTAAATTTTAATTATTTATTCTTTTTCGTCTTTCTCTGAAAGTTTAAAAGAATTAGTTCTTTTTAGTGTTTTATTTTTCTTATATATTAATCATGAATATATAGAGCTCATATGCATTTTCTACTTTCTGATAACTGAAGATATATGCGAAACCATTTACTCTTGATATATAATTACTTTGATATTACACGAAGTAGTGACATAATAAAAATATATTATTATCAATGATATAATGAAAATTGATTGATCATTATTGATGTTGAGTGATATATTTTTTGAGGTCAATAAATGCTTTTACTTTTTATTATTTTTTTTATTAGATTATATATATTTTCTTTCGAAGAATGATAAAATATTAATTTTTAGTTTTCATATTTTTCATTTATCAGTACCTATACTTAACTAAGAATAATATATTATTAGTTTATTATTATATTAATAAAAATTATTATAAAAATAATAATCAATCGTAAAACGCAAATTGGTATCTAAAACAGTTCACCTCTATTTTGAGAGCGAAAAACTTTGGTGCTTAAGATGTATATTATTATAATATTAAAAAATATATTATTGTAATATTATAGTGACAATATATTGTTATAATATATTATTAGATAATTATAATGCTCCTAAGAATTAATATAAAAAAAGTAATTGCTCCTCGTGATGTTTGATAAAACATTATTATATAGTGTCTAAAGCTCTTTTACTTTATAGTGACAGTGATCTCTTGGGTGATAATCTATAATTGCTTATAAAATCCTAAGCAATTTTAGGATTTTATTTTCAATATATTTTTGAACGCTTTGTTAATAAAAAAATATATTTATATGAATTCTTTGATAAAATATTATTATATAGTGTCTAAAGCACTTTTACTTTACAGTGAAAGTGATCTTTTAGGTGATAATCTATAATGCAATTTTAGGATTTTATCTTCAATATATTTTTCAATGCTCTGTTGATAAAAACAGGTACTTGGGTGAAGAGGGCGTAACTACTGTGTATATTGAAGATAAGAAAGATTATCCACATTTGGCAATACTGTTTCAGTGCCATAGATCAAATGGAACTGCCATCGAAAGTACCTTATGTTAAATTGCAATATGGTCCATTTTTAATATGGACCATAACTTGCTTGCCATTTTATAATATGGACCGTTTAACAAACTCTGAACGGTTTTAAAATTCTTAAAACTAACTACAAATATGGTGAGATTTTTACGCATTGTATTTCTTCAAGTATTTAAAATGGTTACTAAAAACTATAACTAATACATGTTATTATTATTGTAATAAATAATGTTTTTTTTTGTAATGATACCTAAATCTATTTATTATTATTGCTTTTTTATATAAAATGAACAATAAATTATAATTATTTTTTTATCAGATTTTCAAAGTCTATAACAGATTAAGTCATTATTTAAAAGTTCTTAAGAGTTGAAATAATTTTCGGAAAATAATAAAAATTTGATAATTATATATTAAAAAATTAAGAAGAATAAGCAACATTACTGATATAAAGAACGTAACATTGCGGCGCGAAAGGTGGAAGTTACTTATAGACAGCTTATGCTCAGTATAAGAGGCTGCTCGAAATCATTAACGTCGAGCAAGGCTTATTATTATTATTATATTAAAAAAATATCCACTTCAAATTATAATTTTTTTTACTCCTTACATATCACCTAACTGAATTTTTAAATAATTATAGAAAAATTGAAAAAACTTAAACCGAAATAGTTTGAATAGAAAAGTAACTTTATGCAGATAATTAAACTTAATCGCCTTCCAGATATTGGTGATGCTGATTTTTTCTGTTGAGTGCATATACATATAAATATTGCGTCGTGTAATTTGTTATTTTTTAGTTATATTATAAATTTGTTTTTAATTAAATTATTAAAATTGTCATAAGTAATGATTTGATTTGTGTGAACAAGATACGAGTAATGTGTTGTTGTAATTAGAAATTTGGCTGCTGTTTAAGTACTTGAACAACAGATATGAATTGTGGGTTATATTTGAAAACATTACTTCAACAAACTACGGGGTTATATAAATATATAAACATACAGGATATTAAGCGGCCGTTTAATATGAGAACCCAAACTGAACAATGAAAACTTACAAATAATTTAAAAATAAAATAAATAGATTGTATATAAACTATGTGAACACATTTGAAGGGACAAAACATAATTGCCAATTAATTGTATTAACTTAAATGATACAATATAAATAACATAAATTATTTAAACAATTATAATAATCATAAACAACATAAACATAAGATACAAACTATAAGACATAAAAAACGGCACGAATCAATAATAATTATTAATTCATTAATTACTCAACAATATCGATTCTAATAAATACTTCACATTTTATATGGTTTTTAATACAGTTTCACACATTTAAATTAACAATATTTTTCATTGAATTGATTTTTATATCGAACCTGGTGTGACCTGACGATGATGATGGACACTTGATGGCTTATCTTTTTTACTTTGTCAATGCAAATTCTCAAATTTTCAAATTTTCAATATTTTTTAATTTATTTTATTTTTAATAATATTAATTAACCGATTAGCGTCAAAGTAGTTTAATGGAGATGCTTTCTTTCGATTCATGGATTTTGTTTCAATATTTTATGATATATTTTTTTTCTAAAAAAATTTCGATGTTAGTTGAATTTGAAAAAATTTGCACTTTTTCCATTGATAAATTTTTATGCTCATGGTTTATGGATCCTTGAACTGACTTTTGACCGACTATGGTCAGATTTTCGCGCATTTCGTACAAATGATTTGTTGATAAATATTATTTGTGATTTTTTAAATAATTATTGATTTTTTTCTATTACATATATCGAACGAATATTCGAATTTTGGAATATACGAAAACACTAGCACTCTACATAAAGTTACCTATAAAAGTAGGAAATAAAATTTAAGAAAATGCAAAAAATTAATTTAGAGAAAATTTAAAAATGAAAAATATTAGTTACACATAAATATTTTAAAATAATATTTAGAAATAATACAGTTATAATAATTTCGTATGAGATATGTTTAATGGCATGTGATCTAAAGTTAACTTTTAGCATAATATTTATATATTATTATGATTTTCTTTTTGCAATTGCAAGAATTAATGATATTTATAAATAGTTTAATTGGTTTAAATACAAATGTGCTAATTATAAAAATTATTAATTAGAAAACTGTGTTAATATGTAAAAAAAAATATTATTATTATTTCTTCAGGTTTTTGTATTATTATTGCAACTAATAAAATTTGCTTACTTGCAATAATTCCAACTATAACAAGACCAATTACTCCCATAATTATCATCATCTAAAATTTGAGTAAATTAAAATTGAATTTATTAATTATGTGTATATTAACAAAAAAAAACAAATAATATTGCTAAATACCTTTAAGTTTTGCAACCAGAATTTCCTTTTGAGTTTGCCAGCTTGTTGCTCGAACTGCGAAGCACCTTGTTGTAAGGCATCGGCTCGATCATCCAATTCAGATAGTTTTTGATCTCTTTCGAGCACTTTCTCAACATTTGTTCGCATTATATCAACGACCTAATTTAAATGAATTATATTGAATTATTTAATACGGTTAGATATTACCATTATTATATTTGTAGGAATTTCCACTGCGACCTAGAGATATATTGTGTCTCCTTAATGGACTTATGTATAACAATCGATATTACAATGGCGAATATTATGTTCAACGCATGTAGAAGTGTTATTGCAGTGCTCGTCATAAAATTCGCGAATATGGAGTATACAAAGACTTACAGAATTACAAAAAAAAATTAATAATAATTAAACGAAAACGATAAGTGGAAAGCATCATCATAAGTGAAAACTCTTGTGCAAACAGCATTTGTTCGATTTATAAAAATACCATAACTTCACACTTGTTGTGGCACTCAAGTCAGTGTACTTGTAACTGAACTAATGATAGACACTAACATAACTGATAGAGGCAGGTCAGTGATCTTTCAAATATAATATATATGCTC